TTAGACAGAAATCAGACTTTAATATTATGCTATCCACAAACACTGAGATTGAGTAATAAAAAAAAGAATACAGTCCTTAAGCAGCTCTGTCACACAGATCAAGAAAATTATGGATTTAGTGTGAGGATTTTTTCTGTACTTCACAACTCCATTTTATTTTAGTTTCTTTTGTACAAATTAATTTTCTACCATCACTTTATAAAACCACGTTTCCTTTTGTTCTTTCCCAGTTTTCATTAAATTTTGCATATGATTTAAAGTTTTGTCACCCTTGTAAACACAAGCCTTGCTAAGAAAATTATGAATTATTCATAACAGTTGTTAGTCTGGGGACAGATATCTGAATGTTATATTATTCTAACATCTCCTGGGAGTGGGGCAGGTAGAGAGGAAGCAAGCAGTAACCTGCAAAACCTAGGAAAAGCAGCTGTGTGCAGTGGGTCAGAATCTTCCTTTGTGTCTTGTAGAGCAGCAATAGCTTCACCTTTCAGCAACTGCTGCACCAATTGTGTTGCTACAGTGCTTAATAATAGCTGATTAACACAGCTAGTTCCTGAGCTCAGCTAACATCTTCCTACCACTGTATTCCTCACATTTCACAGGGTGAAATGAACACCCCAACACTTTGCATGACAGAATAACCACTCTAGCTGGTCACAGGTACAAAGCATACAGAGGGGCAAGGAGGAAGAGAACATGATTTGGCCCTTGTGAAGAAATACCTAAGTTCCAACACAACACTATTACGGAATTTTCAATTTCCAGGCCAAAAAAAACCCTCACATAAGCAGCTGTGATTGACAGGAACATTCTATCATTCACTGTAGTCTGTTTTAGGATCTGATAATATTCAGCAGTAGAAATGAGTGCATTAAAGCCAAAGGGAAACTAATTCTGAAGAAATCAGTCCTGCATTGGGTAAAACAGTACTGAATAAAAGCAAGCTGAAAGACAACAAAATAAACAATATGGGGTTTATTGCTATTTATTATTTCTTAGGGTTTGAATAAGCTTTTTGTTAACTTTCTCTAGTTTTAATTATGGTCTTTAAATGAATAATTAAAATCATATGAATGGGCACTATTTTAATTTTCAATCTCATTTTATACCTAAAGTTTGGGGGGTGGGGTATGAAGGAGAGTGTGTGTATAAACATCACGATAGACAACTTCTGTACAATATAAATACAAAATCATACGTTAATTTCTTTAATCATTATTTCTGTACTATTTGTTTTTAGAACCTTCAGTAATAAACTAGAGGCTCTACTGCGCTCAATACTGTACAGAAGCCAAACAGATCTCCCACACACCCTACAGGGCAATAACATGCAAGAAAAAATGCCATAAAGAGATACAGGTAAAGATATAGCAGGAAGTTATCAGACAGCATATGACAGCAGAATAGTTTGGGTATTGAAGGAGTGAGTGTAAAACAACTAATTTGGTAAGCTTCCTTCCCCAGTCCCTCCATCTAGCTTGCCTGACAGACACCCAGATGCAAAATTCATCCAGTTACACTATTCCTCATCCCTCATTATTACCTCCTAATCCCTCCATGCTTGTATAACTTATACTGTGCAAGTTCAAATGCATATGTACAATAGTTTATCTTGGCATCTCAGAGACAAAGATGATTAGTGCAGACTCAGAACTGGAGAAGAGAGGAAAGTGAACCACAGGTCTTCCTAAAACAATCATTCCTTAGCAACAGAGGGAAAGAGGAATGGGGGAGGGAGGAGAAGAGAGAGGGGAGAGAAGGGAAAGAGGAAGAAAAGAATTTAAAATGGAAAATTTTTATGAGCTGAAATAATGTACCTGTTTAACTACTTTCCTATTTTCACAAGGGTACCATGAAGTAAAACTTCAAGTGTTTTATAGCACTATTTAGATTATAACACACTACCCAGTCTGAGTGGGATGCTTTTAGGTAGCACTAAACAACCAATAAGAAAATCAGATAGTATTGGTATTGTGTATTTGAGTTTTTTGCATTTTGTTGGGCCATCCCATAATGCTATCAGACATACACACACACACACAGAGTGACCTATTGCTAGATCTTAACTTAAAGTCAAACTCTGCAGGTAAAGACCATGTAATGTAGAGTAAACCAGAATGACTTCATACATCAGGGCCACAGATACTGCCTGGGAGTTGGGACTTTCAGCCTCAATTCATAAAGGAATCTAAGGAGTATTTTTGGTACTTTGTTGATGTGAGGGGCAGAATTTGAAGCTGATGTAGCTCAGCAGGTTATGGCTAAAAACCAAATGATTCATCTAGGATTTGTCAGTGATATAATTGAGATGCAGGCAACTTAAACTACCTGACAAACAGCATTTTAAAATGATGCTAGGTCTGTTCAAAGTTCTGTCTCATCCTTAAAAAAACACAGGAGTCCAATTCACCCATTCAGATAAAGTTATTGCAGCCATAAAAGATAATCTGCTGTCATTCTTTCAGGAAAAAAGCCCTCTGCTTGCCTCAAGGTAAGATAACATTTCAAGACTTTGTCAAAATGGTGAAGTCAAAAGAGTGCTTTGATATTAAACCTTTCTGTGTCTTAAATTCCTTCCACTTAATATGTCATGGGCTACTTTCAGTTTGCTCACCTGACAAGGTTTACAGGAGAATACCTCAGTGACCCAGAGTGACAGGAGTGGAAACATGCACTTCTCAGGCACCTTTCTCACATTGTCAAACAGCTTTATTGTAAGTGATAATCAGCTTAATACTATGAGAGAAATAACTAGAAATAAAAAAATCAAGGAGGAAATTATACAGAGAGGAAGTGTAACAATTTTATGCTTACTAATATTTACAAACACAGCAAAGGATATTCATGCATTATTACAATACACTATCAACACCTTCCTATTATAGAATCATAGAATAGTTTGGGTTGGAAGGGACCTTCAAAGGTCATTTATTCCAATCCCCCTGCAATGACAGGAACATCTTCAACTAGATCAGGTTGCCCAGAACTACATCCAGCTCCTGTACTCAGATCCGTCTTGGAACAAGTGCATTCAGCAGCAACAAGGGCTCAGTTCCCTGCTCAGCCCTTGAATTCCTCCATGAATACTGTTCAAAAAGGGTAACTATGAATTATATATGGCGATTTTTTTACCCATATATTTCCAAGTGTTTTATGAGATGACTGACTTTACCACTAAACAGAGACCAATGTGGCAGACAGAGCATCTTTGAAATTACGCAAGTTCACCAAACTGTTTAGCACCCAACACCAAAATCAATAATATCATCATGGCTCATAGTATTAGCACAGGGTCCAGTAACGAGCTCCAATAGTTTAACACAACAGTTTCTAGACACAGTTTCTAGTATTATTCCAGTGTTCTTTTCAATTACTTTATAAAATGGTGAAAGCCTCCAACATATGATTATGGAGAACAGCCTACAGATTTTTGAGAAATCCGTTTCTCCTCTTGCTAGACAGCATCACTGAACAGTAACTTGGCTGGCAAAAGTTTGAATTTTAGAGGTCAGGCCTTTTAATTTAAATTCTTTTAAACACTTTTTCTGGAATTTATCATTTACAATTGCTGATCAGCAATTAATTTTCCCATTTTCACCTTTGTCCTAGTAGGAAAAAAAAAAAAAGAAACACATAATAACTGGTAAATCTTTCCTTGCACACCCTGTAAAAGTATTTGCAAAGCAAAGGTAAAATAAGGCAGTGTACCTCTTCAGCAGTCTTAACCTAAAACTGCATTTAAAAGGAAAATATGTTCAGATGACAGATTCATATGCTGTGTGTAATGAATTGGATCTACTCATCTGCAATACCATTAACCTAAACAAACTTGCTTGGATTAATTCAGGAGTCAGCAAGTAAAAAGGATGAAAAACCAAATTGGGCATTATACAGCAACTCATTACTTTGTTCCTTAGGACACAAGTGAATGACCAAAGTTGAGAATTTTCATAGATTTTCTCATAGGTCCAAATAAAGTATCTTGTACACAACCCTACAAAAAGTATCAAGTAGGGAAGTTCAGACATTTGGAAGAAAATTGCTGCATAAAACCTAGGTGGTGCATATATAAACCCACATTAACTAAGATTAATGAATCTTCTCCATGAGCCATAAAGCAATATGTGGAAGCCTGTTAACTTCATATACTGTACATCCATTCTTACAGAAGAGAGCAAAAATCAAAAACAGCAGGAAAGTTCAGAAGGGTAAGTTCTAGAGAATCCCTAATAGTATTATATATGTTGGACATCTGCCTAGCTGCTCTTATTATTGCTGTAAGGCACATGAAAGATGCTTCTTTTTGACCACTGCATAAGTATATGAACACAAATACTAAGAAACAAAAAACAACACAGACATTTGTAAACAGGCCAAAAGATTGACAGCTATCTGTTCCCAAGACTGGGGCCTGAGGCACACACCGTACAGCCTCTCTCCATTCTTAAACACCCTTTTTAAGATGACCCAAGCTGGCTAAACAGAAAAATAATTTCTTATCTTCTAATTCACACTACTGCATTTTGTCTCTTGAATATTTTACCATGAGGCAATACACATAATATGCTTTACTTAAACCTAAATGTATGTTTGATCTGTTATTTCAACCTTGTCTAGCAAAACAGTTATCTTATCAAAGATAGATACTGGTCTAGTCTTATCTTATCAAAGATAGATACTGGTCTAGTCTTATCTTATCAAAGATAGATACTGGTCTAGTCTGACACAATCGGCTTTTGTTAAAAAACACATTGCATTTTATACAATTTTCCATGTAACTTTATGTCCTTAGATTACCCTTTTCCTTCAAAAGGTGTTCAAAGACTTGGCTTCATATTGAGGTCAGACTTACATAGCCATCCTTGACCCAAAATATTTATAATTCTCTGTCCTTGACTACTATCCTAGGTCAGACAAAACTGTATTTGAATATATGGTTGGACCTTACTTGTGCTGGTCAAATATTTTCCCTCAACAGAAAAAGCAGCTTTCAAAAAATGCCCTTGGAAAGTTCTGACTTTTCACTGAAGTGTCAGGCATCTAAACCCAGAAATATTTTCTGAGCAATCAAAGGTATTTATTATAAATGTTAATTTAGCATCTCACAGAAATTGTAAGCTGAGTCCCTCACCCTGACCAAAAAATGCTTTTATGGATATGCAATAGTCAAGAACCACTGTGACAGAATCCAGAATAACACCCACTGTTTCAAAACAGAAAATCATAATTTAGGAAGGGGCAGACAGAGCACTCTAGTCTGTAATCTAGAGGTGTGCGTGCCAAAAAAAGCAGTGGGAGCTGCTCTAGTGGTGTTCCGGAATAAAATTATTAGCTATAGAAGAAAAATATATATATTTTTAGTAAAGGTATCATAATCTCTCATCTGGGTCATGGCAATGCCAAAAATGCAGATGGATGAAAGGAAACTGGGTTGCTAAAGTGAAACTAAGGAGAGGCATCTTTCATGATACCGATAGCCACAAATCATCATGCGCTACTTGTCAACTACTGCTACACTATTAAGCCTTCTGTATAAGTAGCTAATTAGGTTTCTGGAGAGCTTACCTAGTATCTCTCTCCCATGTCTCACTGACTCCCCAGAAGATGAGCATCTGTCCCTGGGAAAAAAACTGTCACGGGCAGTGGCACTTGCAACACCTTACCCCCACACAGCTTCCTTCTTTGCTCCTGTTTTTCTAGGCCCCTGGTATCCCCAGCTGATCACACACTAGTTGTCCCTGGCTCTTTAGGGAGTAGAGGAAGTAGCACCACCGGCTAGTGAGTAAAGAGGAAAAAGCAGTCTCCTTCCCCAGGAGAAGCAGGGGCTGTGCAAAACACTAGGGTGAGAACTGGACAGCACAGGAATGAAAGCATAGAGAGAGAATGGTCCCAGATATCCAGGGTGATATCACACAAAAACCTAATATTGTAGATAATGCCACAATCTGGCAATTTTACTACTGTTCACCAGTTAAACACATTTGCCATGACGATGTTTGTGAAGATTGAGTCTAGTTAACATAGACTATGTCAACGTAGCTAACAAGTTAACACAGTTAACAAGTTAGCTTCTGTGACAGTACTGAAGGTACCTATTGCCTGGGACACCTACTCTGTGTGACACCTGTAACAAAATAAACATTTGACCCTCTGAAAGCTGTCTACCACTAATCACATCGTGGCTGGGATAATGTTTTTACTATGCACCATGCTGTGCCTAGCCAGAGCATACTAATAGTTCTGCAGAGATAGATAAATCTCTCAACTGGTGTCCATTTCCATGAGATCTTCAATGTGATATGGAAATATTTTTCCAGAGTAGTCCATTACTGTAATTGTATTCATTTATATTTGAGATAGGAGTTAAAAAAATAAATAAAAATCAGTATTGCTTTAAATCTAAATACCTTGCACACAGCAATTTTCTCAAGATGCTAAACGTGTTAAGTGCCCTCTGTAGTCTGTTATTGGCAAACTTGAAGCTAATAAAAATAATTGAGAAAAAAACTAATACAGCATTGTAAAACCCATTCAAGAACCTCAGTACTTATTCCACTTGTAGAGAACAACAAGGAACTTAGATGCTGTGCTTCCACAGAATATTAGCAAGCTAAATAGAGCAGAGCTAAGCAACTAGAAAGGCAGGGTTTTGCAAGTATAGTCACACTGATATAACCTGGGACAACCAGTCATTTAAAAATTAGGAAAATAAATACAAAAAGAGAGATGCTTAAAGCTTAAATATTTCTCATATACTAAGCCAGCTGCAGTTCCAGAGGGAAATAACTTCAGTGAGCACTTCTATGATTTTCCTAGTGTAAAAAAGCTTCTAAGGTGATAATTAATTGAATTCATAAAATTTAAATTTGAGGCTGCACAAGGCCTTTTAAACTATCAAGTCTGAACTCTGGGGCATCAGACTTAAATTTCATCTTGCATTGATTTCAGAAACTTATGTGATCTAAAGGATACCAGAAATTAGAAAAGCATCCATTCCTGATGAGAAGATACCAGCAATGGAGAGTTCATTGCTTCCCTTAGGAATATATTCCAGTGCTTAGTCACTGTTAAAACATCTGGTTTGTGTCTTTTAGCACAGATTTAGCTTATAGCCTGCATTTATCTTTTAAAAATAAACATTCCAGTATCATGCATTTTTTCTTGAAAAAAAATTCAAAAGTTCATTAAATCACTGTTTTACATTTTCCTTTATTTTTAGTATTTTCTGGGAAGAATGAGAGGGCTCCTGCTTTCTTATATCCTTCGTAGCTTCTTGGAAACTACTTTAAAACATGGACTACCACACTGGGCATGGCATTCCAGAACTGATCTCACTAGTGTCTAATACAGAAGCACTGGCACACCACTTTTGTTGTCTACTCACTGTTTGCATGCATCACTTCTCTCAGAGCTCATGAGAAGTCATGGCACTACAACCCACAAGCACTGCAGGGAATCTTGCCCTCCTTGGTTATTGATTTTCAGGAATATAATTAGAGGAAATATGTTTTAATGAGACCAGTTTACTAGGAAATCAAGGTATGCCTACATGACTGCTATGTCCTCATGTTCTAGTCCTGCATCATCCACATACTTTATTATCAGAGGTTTCACAGTGGTGAAATTATCAAATATCCAGTTTTCTACTGACCCCTCTAAAACCTGTCATCAACAGCCAAGCAATAATTTTTAAGTTCACTGAATCAGAATAGGCTGTACTTCTGAAAAAAAAAAAAAAAAGCCAATTTAGCCAATTTTATGTGGGGGAAGAAAAAAAAGCTGTGAAAAAAAGGAAATAAATTGAGCATAACTTCACAAAGAGTTAGGCTTTTGAATACAAATCAACTAAAATGTGACGATATTTTGAAACTAGCCATTAGTGTGAAATCTGGGCAGCAAACAGTTTTTAAATCAGATCTGGATTAGGAGTTGAGTGGAGGAGTTGCCAGAAATGGGAAAGGAAAAGAAAAGCAGTGATCTCAATAAATATGTTTCTTAACAAAATCACATTCATGGAGCAGCTACACTTGCTGATGCACAGTACAGCTGGCATTTGTATTACGAGTAACTTGTGACAAGAACCCCAATAACTGACCTCTCCGTCTAATGGAACACAGAGAATGAGAAAACCTCATGCTCATTCATGCTGCACTGTACTTTTCCCCACCTCTATTATTGCTTGTATTTGAGTCAGTGCCAGAATTGGTACATGTGCACAGTATATTGTGCCAACAAATAGAAGAGAATGGTGCCAACTTAAATCAAAAATATCTTTCTTAATCTGTTTTCAGAATTTTTCACTGGAAACAATCTATTAGACATGAGGTAGGCAAGCTTAAAGAAACCAGCTTAACCTTTCTGAAACTGGTGCCTGACCTGCAACATCTCTAATAGCATGTGAAAATAATCCATTAAAAAAAAATTACAAAAGCATTTTATATTTTAGCCAAACACAGCAATGACAACATTAGCAGAGCACAGATTTCCTCCTACTGCAGCAGATCTATTATTTACCATCATGCTGATGTTCCAGCAGTAGATGGAAGAAATAAAATCCTCAAATTACCTCTCCTGGGGTTGTACAGAAAAAAGTGGGGGAATGCCCTCACCCCTCCCAAGGGCCTAACGTCTGACACCCCTGTTGTCTCAGCTCGCACAGCTGTAATTGTGTTACTGTATCAGATTTTTATCCCAGACCCCATGATTTCTTCAGGCAATGATTGCTGAGCCTTGAATACCTGCTTTAAAAATCATACATCTTTCTGATTGCCTGAAAGTGAGTGCTTTTTAATTTCATTATGCTCCCACATTTCTTTAAAAACGTAGTAAAACAGGAGAAAAGCGCAGAAATTCTCCTGGAGCTTCTTATTTGGAATACCATAGTTTTGCAAAGATTTGTCCCCTTCATATCTTCACTCTAGTAAAAAAATACTTATTTTTCCACATTTGCACAACTATATTTCTAACCAGCTATAAAAGTCATTTGTCATATTTGCAGAAATCTGTCTTGTTGACACCCTACTCACCCACCCTCCAACATCATGCATGTTCAACTTCCTCCATGACAGCACTCTGTCCTCACTCGGCATGCTTCTCTGTAGCATTTACAGGCTCTCAGGAAAGCCTTTTGTGCAGTTACCTCCCTCCAGACTAGAATGGTGATGGGGCAGTGAGTTGAACTATCCTAACTAGAAGGCTAGTGATAGCTTTTCCTATGTTTTATATTTGACAAACTTCTCTGCTGATCAAGTCAGTTTGACCTCTTTCAGTATGTAGTCTCTGTATTGTTACTTTGATCTGCTACTGCTCCTAAACAAAATATCCCAGTTTACCTCTTTAGAATTTTAAACTGTAATGTTAGGATAAATACCTCACATTTATTTCACTCCTAGCAGTTCAAAAGCTGCTGTTATCCTTGTTTAGTAGTTTCATTTTCCCTAGGATATCTGCCATAGTTGATTATCCTCAATTGTTCTTTGCATTGAAATTTGCATGCTAACTAGTCTTTCTCTGGTTTAAGGTATCTTTGCAAAAGGGAAGATCTGCCTTGCCAGAAGGCTGCTTTCTTTGGATTACAGTGGAACCTATTTGGGTGCAATGTATTCACTTCCTCAGCACTGAGCCCTCCACTTCTTGATGTGCTTTCTTCACAAACCTATTAGGACTTCTAACTTTATCCAGCTAGCTAATTGTGCTTATAACATGGGTTACACTAGAAAAAGCTGCTGGAGAATCTGAAGGTGTAATCTCTGGACCAATCTGCTCACAGGGGTAGTGATTCTCAGAGCATATATTAAATTAAACAAGCTTTCTATTAACAAAGCTTTACTAAAGCTATCCTTCTCTCAGTGGCTCAGCTCAGCATAGGGAGATTAAGAGACTGCTTTTTTTAAGTCACTCCCAGCACCTCTTACTCATTACTTAACTGGTCAGAAGTACAACATATTACTGAGTAAAACACTCTTCTGCAAAAGTGTTAAACCACATCCTGATCTTGTCACAGGTTTTGAACCTACTTCCATATCTGAAATAAGTGTTGTTTCTCACAGCTGTACAAATAAGCGAGAATATATTTTCACAAACACATTATATATGTTACCCTGTTGCTGGCAGCTTTGTCATGGGCTTCACCCAGCAGAAGTCACCTTGGCTCCCTGCTTTTGTGTTCTATAGGGATACACATATCTGTTTGTACACTCATACTGGGCCAAGAATACAGCTCTCTGGTCGATCTTCACTACTGTACCAACCAGTCCTCAGAAAACCTTTCAGAATTCATTTTCTTTAGAGCTACTGTTTTCCTTTCTGGCATGACACCCATCTTCTTATTTACGCTTTATTCTATAGTCTTCCAGTAGAGGAAGAGAGGTTCTGTTATTTTTTACACAGCTGACCTTTATTTTTCTCTCATAAAAGATTCAGTGAATTATCACTTTTGTTTCTTTGATTTTGTTAGCATCTTTGAAAGCATCAGAAGGCACATTGTTTATCCAAGCCTTCCTCCAATTTCATAGCTCATCCTGCAATGAAATTTTCGAACAATAATTCCCCACAGGATTTTCTCACAGGGGATCATATGCACCATAACTGAGAGCATCCTTTGATTCTTTGCAATGCAGAAGTTGTAGATTTGTCAAAAACAGTCTCTACAGATCTGTGAACTATTTTAACTGTTATTGTGCAGCTGTACCTATGTAATGATGAACTATCTGACTTTCTGAAAAATGCCAAAAATTATTTTCCTATTTTAGTATAATTTTGGTGCACTGGCTTTAACTCTCAGTCCATGTCACCATGTCACCAGCAAGAATATTACTCCAGCTGTTACTTACAAAGTTGTAGCAGCCATTTTATTGCTTTGCTTTCACTGTAGTATTTTTAGTTTGAGCCAAATGATGCCCTTCTTGTTTGGAAAGTCCTGTTCACATTATTTTCTCACTACCCACTCCTTTCCCCATCCTCCTGGTTCTCCTCTCCAAGAGTAGAGACACTGCAACCATTGCAATTCTCAGCACCTGTCTTAGTAGCTGCAAGTTCATTGTACCCGATATAATTTACTGATGAGATGTTTTTAAAAGCTTTATAGCTTTCACTTTATTTGGATCAGACTTTTTTCTCTTCCTCTGTGATGCAATAGAAGTAATTCATCTGACCAAAAATTATTTGTACATGTTCTTCATTGCATTTAATCTTTAAAGTCTACTACCCCTGCATCTTAGTATTAGACTGTCATTAGCAAGGTATATAACTGCTGCCAGTCCCTGTTCTTCACACATCTGTTTTCTGAAATGCTTCTCAGGCAGATGGTGATGCCAAGGACACTCATGAAACAATCTTCCACAGGGAGTGCAGAAATCCCTACCTTGCTCTTCTACATTCATTCTTTGTGCCAGTACCAGGGCTGAAGTGTTTTATACAATGAATACACTTCATGTGAAGAGCTTGAAAGTGATCTCATCTCAGGCAGCTGGCATCAGAGTCTTTTTTTAAAGGCCTTAAGGGTCTATGAACAGCCAGGTCACACCACTGTTCATCCTTTCTAATGTAATACTTTAGCTTACTAATGCCAATGGCATCTCCAATTTTGTAATCATGCTAAAGATGTACCACATGCACATGCAGAAGTTCATTTTCTGCAGGAAAAGAAACCCTATTGCGAACCTATGGGTAGGCCAGTTTTGCAACATCCTGAAAAATTTTCTATGCCTTCAAACATGCCAGGAAATCTTTAAGTTTTCTCTGAGGTGAAATTTCTTTTTATTAACTCCATGGTCATTCAGGTTTTCACAAGCTTAATTATTTTAAAGTCCTTGTTTCTGTTGCTGGCTTTGATGCCATAAGGATTACAGAGAAGTTAACATGATCTTTTAACTTTTTTTCTTCTAAATACATTTAATACAGTATTCCCTAATTACAAAAGTGGATGCCTTTCATACACTCCTAGTTTAACATGATCTTTTAACTTCTTTTCTTCTAAATACATTTAATACAGTATTTCCTAATTGCGAAAGTGGATGCCTTTCATAAACTCCTAGTTTCCTTGGTATGGAGGAGGATGTGTTTGGTTTCTTATATTTTGCTTCAGGGGTCCTACTTTCTTATGTCCTGAAATTAGATTAATTTCACCAAATTTTAGATACTTAATTATTAGCCATTTAAGACTTATCTAGTTGTTCAGCCTCTTCTATAGTCAAAATAAAGGGAAATAAACTCATCCCAGTTTCAATTCCTTCCAACTCCAGCACCACAAGATAAGAATAACTGCCTTGGCATTCGGCCATTTCTCTTTACTGATGAACAATTAAGACTCGGAGACTAGATTTCTTTCAGATATCCTACTATAAGTTGTCTGAAGATAGGGGAGATTAACCCTACAAGTGATATCAACCTTGAGAAACACACATATTTCTGAAAAGTCACATGCCTGTTATCAATGCCAACTACTACCTCAGTCTTCTGTCTTCATTGTGTGTGTAATTGACTCCTATGTGTCCCTGGTGGTCCAATTTTGTTGTTGTTGTTGTTGGTTGCATTTTGGTTGGGGTTTTACTTGTTCAGTGGATGGTCATTTTCTTGTTATTATACAATTGTTGTCAGGGAGGTAATTTCCTCTTCACTTTAGCTGCCTCGCATAGCCTGCATCCTCCAAAGCTCTTTGACATTAATTTGTCTGACATTAGTGCCTGTTCATATATTCATTTTGAAACTTATGTGAGTATTCTTCTATCCTTTGGCTTCCCCTATA